CTGATCTGATCCTTGTTTTTTTTGATTATTTGTGTGTATGCTGGGTAATGACTAGGAAAATGGGGTAGCATTGATGGAAATAGGTCTTGGTTGGGAATTGCACTATGAAAATGGATAAAAGTTGATGGTAGATCATGCTAAACATTGCAAGGCTGAAGAATAAGTGTGACTAAAAATGAAGTGATAATTTCTTTTGAAATTAAAGTATTTTTCTGCCTGGCCAGGATAAAGAAGAGTTAAGTTTTGCCATGTTGAGTTCAACCCCAAATATCATCTTGACAAATGATAAAAAATATTAATGCAAGAACTTGGAGTCTTTTGCATTGGCTTGGAAAAACTAGTTTGAATTGGAAACTATGTGAATATGAGAAACTTTTTGCAGTATTATCTTCATTTCCTCCCAGGTTGAGCAGTAATTGTAAATGGTACAAAAAAGAGATCTCTGACCTACCAAGAATGGTGGGGATTGCTGACCATTTATGCCAATGATAGTCTTCTGCATGTTCATATTCTGCTGTAACTAAGCTCCAATTGATCAGCATGTTTCATTTTATTTTACATTTTTTTTTTCCATAGAAAGTTTCGTCTTTGTATGTTCAGTCACAAGATTTTTTTGCTTCAGGTTTCGAATTGGTTTATAAATGCACGTGTGCGTCTCTGGAAGCCTATGGTCGAAGAAATGTACAAGGAAGAGTTTGCTGATGCAGAGATGGATTCTAACTCATCATCTGATAACTTGGCAAAAGCACTAAAAGGTGATATGAGGACCTCTGAGGATAGAGGGGAAGATTTTCAACAAACTGGGAGCTCAGCAGCCATGGAGAGAATTAGCACGGGTCAATTGATGGATTCCAAATCCGACCACGTTCCTGATGCAGAATTTACTGGAACAACTGGAGGATTGCACAACAGCATGCGCGAAGCTGAAACTGAATATGGGTTGCTGAAACTGAGGGAAGGACAAAGACCTAATGTAGATGACTGCAGTCTCTTCCCTGATACGATTGTTCATTCTGATGGGGCCAGTGACCGATTTATGGCAGCAGCAGCTGCTGCTTACCACATGCCGGAGATGGGGAGATTTGGGAGCGGAACTGGTGTATCTCTCACTTTAGGTTTGCAGCATTGTGAGGGAGCTAATCGACCAACTTCTGGTGGAAATCATCGCACATTTGTAGGGGTAAGAGGGGCTGAAGATATATATAATGCCGCAGCATCCTCAGTTGGAACTGAAACAGTGGACTACGAATGCATAAATCCCAATAACCGGCAACATAGGTTCAGCTCATCCCAGTTGTTGCACGATTTTGTAGCGTGAAAATGAAAGCAATTGCAGACTTTCTATTGCACTGCTTCAAATCTTCGAACCATTCTTATCAAGTGGAGGGGAGGGAGAGCTGGAGGAGGTGGGAAGGAACTTCCGGAAGCATGACAGGTCCATTATTCTTGATGCTTCTTTTTTTTGAAGCATATTTTCACTTGGTTGCAATTGGCATAAGATTGTAGTTTCTCTGAATATGAAAACATATAAAAACACAGTTGTAACATATATCAAGAAATGGAACGTTAGCATATTTGTAAAGATACATATAGTTTTTGTCTGATATGTGGAAGAAAAGGTGTAAAAGATTAGTTGTGTCCTGCAACTTCTGTTGTTGAAGAATATTATTACTTCATTGAAATAAGAATGGTAGGGATTTGGATTGTCATTAATTTTTATGTTGTTTGTGAAAATATATCTTGTGGGTGCGGAGCAAAGTATGCTGACTGCGGAGCTAGTGTTCACTATTGAACTCTGATATACTTAGTTTACAGTACAATTTGAACCATTTGAAATAGGCTGGAACAGACTGTAAAAAATGGATGCCACCCAACCTGGGCGCCTAATGTCGGATGGAACAGGCTTGGCTCGGGTCTGCCTCATCGAGCCGAAAGGGTCAGGATTAGACCAGCTGCTGACAAAACCCAGCTTGTATGCCACACTTAATATGTTATTATCTCTTTCATTATTTTTAACTATGTTATTTAAATGTTTAATCAAATTTTTCCCCTATAAATTATTTTAAAATTTAATTATTTTATTATTAATTTGAATTTATTCTAAAATTCCTTGACATATCCATACTTTATCCTAAACTTCAATTAATAAAAAGTCCCTATACTCTTAACACATGTAAAATAACATATCATGATTCTACTAGATTTTCCCAAACCAAAATCTCTTTGGATATTTCCTTCACAAAAATTCTGTTCACCTGTACGGAGATTTACAACAGGACAAATGCCCAACATTATTAGGAAAATTTCATACATGTAAGAAACACAGACAATGTCACTGTTTGTCCTCATCCCAGAGCAAAACCTGTTTCCTATCAACATCAGCATTAACCTCCGGATGGTGCATTCGGATATTTATAATCCAAAACGGAGCATTAAGTTAGTCCGTATGCATATACTCCCAGAAAGAAAAATACTCCAAAACTGCTAATCAACCACTCCCGGAAAGAAAAATACTTCAAAACTGCTAATCAACCAGATTTTTCTATGTCGCATTTCTTTGATTAGACTTAGTTCGTCACTGAGAGGCGGGACCAAAAGGACTTAATTTTGTCGATCAGTACCTGGTAATGGGAAATCAAGGATGAGAATTCCCATTTACAACAATCTACCCAATTATAATAAGAAAGGCATAAAACTGTCACCCCCCAAAGGG